CGATAACGTAGCATTTCCACCCTGCAAACATAGCGATAACGTAGCATTTCCACCCTGCAAACATAACGATAACGTAGCATTTCCACCCTGCAAACATAGGGATAACGTAGCATTTCCACCCTGCAAACATAGCGATAACGTAGCTTTTCCACCCTGCAAAAATTACGATAACGTAGCATTTCCATCCTGCAAAAATAACGATAACGTAGCATTTCTACCCTGAAAACATAGAGATAATGTCATATTTGCAGCCAAAAAAAAGCGCGCGACAGGACGTTATCACACCCCCCCCCCAACCCCCTCCCCCCGAAAACATAATGGATGCATCTAAAGCGACGGCGACCCAAGCGTCCTGAGGGTGTATATATATATATATATACATTATATATATATAATTACATATATAATCATGAATAATTATATTAATTTTAGAACAACATATAATACATACAATTCTGAATCCAAACTAGTAGCCATATATTTATATAAATTATATAATATGACAAAAATCCCACCGAAGCACCAAAAACACAGCCATCACCACAGAATGTTTCGGTTCTACACAATGCTCTCAGGTATCTCCGAGGTTTGGTCTCCTTTGGAGTCATCCAGCAGACCCAGGCAGTGGCAAGTGATGGATGTGTCTGAGAATAGACTACTGGTAGCCCAAAATCCATCAAGATCCCATATGATCCCATGGTTCATTTTCATGACTCCTCATTTTCCCGTATGTTCATGTATTTCCCCTATTCAACCACAAGAATTTTCGGGATATACCTCATTTTCAGAGCATATGGGGTTTGTCCTAAAATGCGAGGATTGCCAATGTTCACTACCTTTTTCATGATCATACTGTAGGAATTTGTGGCGTCCAATTTTGAGACAACCCCAGCTGCTTGGTTTGGTTGGTTCATGGCTATTCTGTTTGTCGCCATCACATCCCAGTGAAATAGAGTCCCCAAAAGATATTGGATATGATCCGCCCCTATTTTTGTTGATTTTATTGGAGATCCACAGGGATTCCATGATATCCCAGTGAAAAAGCCAGCCGTTAGCCCTGGAGATCCCAAAAATCTTGTAAGGGAATATGGGTTTGTCTGACAATATGGTACCTCTAAATCGACTGGTTAGTCATCATTTTCCCCATTAAATGGCCATTTAGAAGGTATACCTCATCCATTCAGACAGACTCATATAAGCCGTTCTCCTGCCGCAAGATGTTGTTTCACAGCCTCATGAGCGGTATGATGGACATTGGAAAGGCGAGCGATGTCGGTCACGCAGTTTATGGGGGGCTCAAAGGGTGACAAAAGCGTGTTTAAAACAGTTGCAGCTTCTGCCATTTCCAAAGGGTACATACCTGCCTTCATCTGCCTTCAACATCTTGAAAGAAAGTGCCAGGTGTTTCGACAAGAAAACCTATTAAGATTGGTTGGGGTTATACTACCCGGGTCAAACCCATCATAGGACTATTATAGAATACCAGTATAAGGGGAGAATGAAGCTATTTCATGCACGGAAACTGAAGCTACGCTTGGCTCGCTCATTGTGAAGTGTCGTTCTGACTTTGTTCAGCATTTGGATCCGGGACGGGACGTCCTTGGTAATCGTCAGTAATCGTGAAATGATCTTCCCACTGTGTATCTCCATGTTTTTTTGTCCATGCTTGTCTTTTGGTGCAGATTGAAACGGGGATAGGTCAAAACCCATTATTGACATATTTAGGGGAATAACCATCCATCAACCAGCTATTTTATTATTTTAGGGTACCTAGAGTGCCAGGGTTTTGACTCATAGTAATAGCCAAATAAGTTTGGGTCATACTGTCATGCTGTACTTGGCGATGGTCTTTCTATTGTGAATGTCTCTTACGATTTCAACGATATAGTAATAAGAACTATTTGTGTGTCTGAAAATAACATATACCACCCAAAAGGCAAATCTAAAGCGAAAAGTGAGCATCAACCAGTGGATAGAATGGGGGTAGCCTATTTTCAGACAAAGCCAGAATATGAGCCATGATCAAAAGATGGTTTGTCTTTCTTAAAAGGGCATGGTCCAGGATGGTCATCAGGGATTACTGTACTTGCCCAGAATACGGAATCCTATTCTTCATGATGGTGGGATGACCAGGGGCCCCATTAATCTCATGTAACTTGACCATGGCAACCAAAAATCCAAATATCGTATGCTGGGAAAATCTCCGTTTTCCAAAGGTAAATCATCTATAAATAAACCATTACATATTTATATATATATGGCTTCTTGAATCCAGAAACTCTCCTGATCCTAGCCCCGGGATTCAAGAATGTTTTTTGAATCTTGAATCCGGAATCTTGTATCTTGAATCTCGAATCCTGAGCCAGTCTAAGTACTTGGGCCCCTGGACTCGTTTGCAGACGTTTGCAAACGCTTTTGGTGACAAAATTGCTCTAAGTACCTGGGTTCAACAGTAAGACAACAATTAATACACACATATGTGTATATATATATATATGGTGCATGAATTAAATAATGACTTTGAAGTGGAATTTCATCAGGTAATGGCATTTTTTGAAATAGTTTATCTGCAATTACAATATTACGAGTCAAAGCACATTGACAAATCATCATTTGCAGATTTTGGTTTTCATGTCCATATATCAAAAATATTGTTATATATAAAATGTTATCTTTAGTGATAGTTTTAAATGGTTGAGTTACTAAAACGTCTGCAAGGTTATATGTTTACAATATTTTATTAGGTAAGATATAAATTCAATTTCATCTTGTAATGTTTGGTTTAAGCCAAGCCATTTATATATAATTTTGCATCATTAATATCAATTGTTTTATTGTAAAGAGATTTTTGAACTCTTGAGTAGTTTATTTGCTATCATTCCATTAAAAGAAATGCACAGTATTTTGAAGCTTTTTGTAATATTTTTTGACAGTGCATTATATTTTAGATTTTGCATATTTTGCATGCACATATACATAAAATAGCAATTTCTACTTATTTGATTTGGTGATGTAGCAATAGCATCTATATAAGAAAAATGTTTAGTGCAATATTATATTCTTCTAATTTTACAAGTGCTATAAATCCTGCCAAGTGATGTATTTTTATTTATTAGTCAATATCTGCTATATTTTTTTCTAGCTTGATTAAGTAATTTATAGGCAAGATTGTATCTTTTAAATAATAATAGTTCCCTTGCATAGCATATTCTTAAGTTAGTATTTTTTCTATATACATTGTCTCTTTACAAGAGGGGTTTAATATAGGAGCTAAATTTTGTTCTATTATATATGGGTTTAGACGTAGATCTTTTCGGGAAAATAAACAATCAAAAAATATTCCTTGATTATATTGATGATTATTTATAATGTTATGATACAGTACATGTTTGTGCTTTGAATATTATGTTGCTTTATTAAAATGCGACATTGCACTATCTTTTTATCCATATCTTTTAAGAAACTGAAAGAAATAAGACATATTATTTAATTGGTTTTGTAGTAATAAATTGTCGATTTGAATTAAATGATCTTTATAAGATATATATCTAGAAAATTGATCAAAGAGTGCCTTTTCTTCTTGTATATTAAATTGAGTATTTTCTTGCCATATTTCTTTTATAAGTTGACATATTTTACTTTCTACTGAGTGAGTAGATATTTTTAGTGTTTGAAGAGCATTAAGGTAGGTTTTTTTGCACAAGATAGTTTTTGGAGGATATCTTTCACACCAATTAATGACTTCATAAGGTGGTAATTGATGCAAATATTGCTCTGCGTTGTGAATTAATAAATATTTGTTTGCCAATATGGCTTATAATATATAAATTCTTTACTTGTTGTACGTATTTTAAGTGATTGTTACTATTTAGTAAAAAGTCTGGTTATTGCTGTGTAAAAGCATTTGTTTGCAATTTTCTTGCTAGCGTTCAAAGCAGTTTGCCAATCATTTTTAATCCAACTATTCATAGCAAGAGCTTTAAACTTTATTTTTTTGTTTTTTTTTGTAGATTGTAAAAATTGTGTGTTTGTAATAAAAGAGTAAGCAAGCAGAAAACACATACTAAAATAGCATGTTTGAGATATTTTGGCACAATTTGAATCACCAGTTTTTGTTCCATCTGTTTCTAGTTCTTCTGTAGAGAATATGGATATATTTATTAGTGGCTCAAAAGATGGAATAACTATGTGGAATGGAATTTCCTGAAGATAGATTATTAAATATCTTTGATGAGGCTTTAAAGCTTTTTACTCCAGTTATAAACTTGATATTAGATATGCAATCTGAAATATCAAAAAAATAGTATTTCTAACATTCCTCTAGATTCTCATCTTTGCTCAACACAATTGTCAGAAGAAATCGAAAATCACTCCAATATACTTAGTTTAAAAAGCAAACTATTTACTCAAACTTCAAAACAAGAAAGAGAAAAACCTCGGTTTTTGGGGGGGGGCTAGCATATTATACACACCTTTGTTATGGTCAAACCATCGTTTTTGTGGGTTATGGTCATCCATTACATGGTTCTACAAATCCAACATGAATCTCCCATGAGTTCATCAACACCGGTGGCGCAGGAGTTGGATTCCTTTGCTCGACTCGGTGCCGAATCCGTCAGAGTTCAGGAGAGCGACGTCGACCGTCGTTGGTCGTTTTACAGACCGCGGGTCTGTGGGGGGTTCCCAATACCGTGGTTACCCTGTTGTTAATTTTTGGACAAACGACTACTCTCGGGTAATTGTTTATTAATGGCCAAACGGATAACAGTTTGAATGGCTAATAGTTGACTATTGGCATGTGAATCAGCATGGCTGACAGTTCATCATCATGGTTACCCTCTGGTTGCCCTCTCGTGAATTCATAATGGTTACTTTCTGGCAATTTAAACAGTTTGCTGTGCAAATTCACCATAAAAACAAAAAATATAGGTAAAATCATTAAGGATCATTTTCAATTATGTTAAATTACCGGAGCGTAATAGTGGTTTAAAATAAGAACTGTTATACTGACGGTCTTCAATCATGTGTTTTATGGTGTTTAATCGAAGATGGTAGACTTTTCAAATGCCAGTGTAACATCTAATGCTCGATGATCAAACCAATGTGAAATATCATCTTCAATGGTTATATAAATCCTCATTTGGACTACATGAATTCCAAATTTTGCTGGTCAAAACAACAACTTGGATGGTCATAATATCACCACTTGTGATGGTAAAACTACCCTTATTGATGGTCAAACACACGTTCTGATGGTCAAATGCAGACTTTTTGATGGTCAAATCAAATCCATTTTTTAATTGATGGTAAATCCCTGTTTGTGATGGTTGAAACACAATTATTGATGGTCAAATTCCACTGATCTTAAGATAAAATCGCAATTTTTCATCTATTTTGTTCAAAATCCCACTGGTTGAGATGGTTAGATGGTTTGATTCTGCCTCATTTCCAGTTTCTGAATGGCAAAAAAAAATCATAAATCAACGCAGGAACTCTGGGATGCCTTGGCGAAGATCCAAAGGTGTCAGGCGCGCCACGTGTGTACCACATGTTTGTCGCTTTCCAAGGAACCATGTTTTTTTGCCATCAAACACTTGGTTTGGAGGAAGAGTTTCCAGCAACAAATGTGTTCTTTTTCCAGGAAATATACATTTTTGATGGGGTATTGGGAGTTCACGCAGCCAAAATTGAAATTTAAGTTTGTTCCATCTCTTAGTCTAACCCTACGTGAATGCGACTTCGCTGGCAGTGGATAATCATCATCGTCAAGACGTAGGCCAGTTAGATCTCTGATCGATTTTCCGTATTTTTGTTGGACAGAAACCAAGTGAATCACTTAAATCCACAATGTTATTGCTTGAATCCCGTATTTGATGGTGGCTAAATGCAATTTTTGTTTGGACATATGTATATATTTGACGCTGAAAATTCCTGTGACATCACCAAGCAAAGCGGGAATTTTCAGGACCGCCATGGCAAGATGAACGATGACTCCTCCACCACTGTCTGCGAGAGCGATGCAGAGCAGCTCGGCCTGTAGATCTATTAATCCCAGATGCTACATTTTTTGGTTTGGGAATACCATCGGGTTATTTAACAGTTTGCGAACAGGAAAATCACCATTTTATAGCTTGGCAAATTATCATGTTTATCATCGAACTAAATGGGCCATTTTCCATAGCCATGTAACAAATAATAAGCAGAGGGTAACTAGACTATATTGTAGCTACATGTCGGTGAATTTTGGGCTGGATTGTGTCCAAAAAAAATGGATCAGTTGGCTGGGATCGTCATCATCCAGATGGTTAGATTGACACAGATGGAGCTAGATTCATCAGCTGAATGCAGTGGGATCAACACCCAGTGAAACCACATTGGTTGGCTATACTGTGGTAAGCAAAACATAATAAACCATCCCTAAAATACCCAAGGACTGAACGATTTGGGGCACTATTACCTGTAACATCCTGTAACTGTATTATCAAATTATGAGTTTTTTTTCGGTATGATATGAACAACAACAACAACAACAACAACACAACCACAACCACAACCACAACCACAACCACAACCACAACCACAACCGGTTGGTCGCAACCACCAGCCAGACAATCATGGTGGAATACAAGCGCCCAAGGGCCCTGTATAAAGGACATCACTGCTATTGCAATACGGTATGACCTGGCAAAGTAGGGATTTCACCATCAAACATGGATATTGACATATATTGAAATGATATCGGGATCACCAACTTTGGACAAAGTATGAATCTTTTTATATCTTTTTATCCCAGAACGGGATGAAACAAACATCTACAAGAACACCCTGTCCCTTTTGATGGTAAAACATAGTGTAATTTCATGTAGATTTTCTTTTAAACTAAAACCATGAATTGGAACCAATCATCCGATTTTGGGCCAGTGCTTTTGTCACAGCACCCATGATTACCCATGTGAAACTGCTGGGAGTTGTTACTTGGAGGATCGCCCCAGTCACTGGTAAACCTGGTAAATGAGTATGGTTATTTATTGTTACATATATATATATATACATATATATATACATATATATATATATATATACATATATATATACATACATATATTGTATTTTATGGCGTATATATTTTATGGCGTATAACTCACAACCTACTTTCTTCTGGGATACTCCCAGAATCACTGTTCTTGACGACGTCACGATTCCCCTTCATGATCCTCCGCCAAGTACTTGATACCACGGGACGGCGGCAAATCCCTTTACCGTGGCCAAGCATTTGGCAGTTCAATATACAGATATGCCCGTTGTAATATCAACAGTTATACAGTTCTACCCATCATCTTTTCTCTGTTGGTCAACGGCGGTTGTTCCATCTACAAAGCTCAGGAGCAGTGCAGGGTCCTTTTCTGACAGTGACATTGAGAACTCCTCTCTGGACTGGGGATGGGCGAGCTGTTGGCTCCATAGGGGATGATGGGGATGAACCCCAAAAAACATAATAAGGAACCATAACATACAATAACCATATGGTTTTAAACCATGGGATTGGGGGTTAGTCTGTTTTCGGACAAGACCTGAAATATCTCTGAAATGCATGACAGCACTTGTTGATGATCCAAAATGGTACAGGGCCCAGGCCGAAGCAGTCCACACAAATCCAACGTGTCAAATCTCTCCATATGTCCAAAAGTAGGGCCAGGATGGGCTGGGTGGATCCGAATTTGCTTGAACAAAATCGATAGAAAAGAATAAATAAATGCTTGGTTTGAAGTCAGAAGTATATAGAGCTTGGCACCCTTTTGAAGACAGACATCTGTGTAGATTCGGCAACGTGTTTGATCGGTGTTTTCTTGATGGTCTATATACCCCTCCCTGGATTGTTTGTTGCTCGCCATTTCTCCGCGCAGTGGGCAATGACAGCTGAGCCTGGTTGTCTTTGGGATGTTTCCGGCTGCCGGGTCAAAATTGAGACCCCATGAGCGCCAAAGTATTTTACCTTGATATACTAATCTTGTGTGGGTTGACAGCAGGTACCAGCCTGCATGTCAAACAAACGGTCGCAGTGAGTGCCAATGATCTCTTGGATGCACCGCAGGACAGTAGTTTCGTGGCGCATGTAGGGGCTGTCACGCTGGAGGAACTCGAGGCTTGCGGGTTTGATGAGCAACAGATAAGATCCCTTTATGTTCAGGCCCAGAAAAAGCAATGACATTAAAAGCAGAGCATCATCCTGGAGTAGAATGCATACGTATGATTGATTATTGTAAAACTATGTCCCCAAGTTCGGTTTTTCGGATAAAGCTATCGTAACGCACGCCAACCGACACTTTAGCGCCCGCAGCTGTGAAAAAAAGCCCCCAGATATAGTGGGACATTTTGCCTGGAGGATGTCTCATCTTTGTGATGTTAAAGCACATGTGATTGGACGTTCGGCCCCATTCTGCCCACCCTAATTTGGTGCTGGTACCTGCACCGATCGTTGAACATGGATCCGTTCAAAATATGCGTGTCCCCAAGCCTATTGGTTTACCAACTAGCATTGAAGACTTAGCAATGAGTGGGTAATTCTCGAAACAATCGGATTGTCACCACTATGTCACCACTTGATATATATTGGGTCCTTGACACTCAATAGTTTTTGGATCCCCAAATAGACAAGCCTCAGGAACCAATGGTCATGACCACCAGGTGACCACTCCCGTCCGCTTGCAATTGTGCTCGGCCGTGAGCCCAGGAAACATGTTTTGGTGTGCGCGGAAGTTTCCCTTTGATGGACAATCCTCAAAGATATAGACGTTAGTAATGTATGAAGTGAAGCAATAAGAGTCATAGCCCCACAGATGAGCCGGCCACTTGGTTTTAAGCCCATTTTTCCGGCCTCCGATTTTGCTACATGATTGCTCCTGATTCATCATGCCGTCTAATTCTATGATGGATGGCTCAACTGCCAACCTGAAATATCGACAATGGTTTTTGGACAAAACCAGATATCATAGTGCTCACATGTGCTCACTGCTTACACTATCCCATCAAATTCACATAAAATCCGATGTTATCTCATTTTAGTACCATGTCGATACCATGCTGTCCCATTGTACATCCCAATTTTGTTGTTGCTTAAATCCCAATTTCTGATGGTTAATCCTCATGTTTGATATTGTTTGATGCTTAAATCCGCATGGTTAACTCCCCATTCTTGATGGTTAACTCGGTTCACTCTCTCTTTTATCCCATGATAGTCCCATTCTCAGATCTTTCGGTCTCAACTTCCACGTGACCTAAGGTCACACTGTATCCGCCATTGAGCCACGAGCCGCTAATGTGCGACCTGTCGCTCACCGTGAAACAAGGACAGGCACAATCCTCTAGGGATAAAACAAATCCTGGATTTGCTAAAGATGATGTGGCTTATCTTCCCGATGGGAAATCAATCCACTGCTTGGTGAATCGATCAAGGGAATATCCAATTTTTATCTATTTTTGGGGTTCCTTAAGCAAATCCAAGCAAATGAGCAGTGTTCAAAACCTCCAATTGCTGGGTATCACCAGAATCCATGAAGTGGGATATGGTTGACCAGGGCACAATCAGAAGAATCCTCAGTGACCAACAGATCGGGGATACCAGTATACAATCATAGAGGATTGGAAACCTATAATCAACAGAGGTTGAGGATTGATAATCATAATATTATAACAAAGGGGATTATACTCACCAATATACTGGGGATAATCACAATCCAGAAGGGGAATCTCCATCAACCAACCAACCTTAATGGAATGACAGAGGGTGTTTTAAACACTACTCAAATGGGCTACTCAGAACCCTGCTGTGGAAGGACAAAATCTTGCACCAGCTGGTAACTAGTGGTAACCATGAAACCGTGTAGATAATGACATATGAATAGGGTAACCCATCTACCAATGGTGCAGGATTCTGTATCACGTGTGTGCTTGGATGTCCCGAATGCCCCTAGTCATTCTCTACATATTATGATTTAATATC